TATATATATCATGATAAATGCATGCATTTTTATGTTATTCTATGAATTATAGTACATTATTTCCGTTTTTTATTTTGATGCTCAAAATAATCTGTCCCAGGTTTGGTGATGGGAACTTCATCAACTGAGCATCTATGACCTTTTGATATATCACTATCACCCTTTGCATACTTCCTATGTTTCTGGTACAATAAGATACTCGAAATTATCTTGTTCTTTCCCCACTCCAGCTCTGGTAACAGCCATTTTTCCAAGAAGTCATGTTTCCTTCTAGTTGAGAATGGTATTTAGAAACCAAGATCTGGGTGCTAGGTATGCCCATTGCTACTGAGGTTTCATTTTTTTAAAGTCCTCTCACTATGTATTTATTGAATACAATTTCTGATCACTTGTTGGACACTCAGTGATTTATTTGTGACTTAAATGTAAACATTCTTCCCTTAATTTCTGAAAACAAGGGAGTAATTTCACAAATGGAAAAATATAGTTTAGAATTCTAGGGACATCTTCTCTCTATATTCTGTTAAGTATTCTACACCATAATCATTCACAAGAAAAAAAAAGTCTTCACATAGACAGGTAAGGATTGATGGGGGTTGAGGGAAGAGAAGACTTTGTTTTTAGAGTTCTTTGAAAGTATTTTGGAGGAACTGTGGTTCACGCTTTGACTTTTTAAAAGTTTGATATAATTGGATCTTTGGGACATTATCCCAGAAGGATCTGAAGTTTCGAACCTCTGTATATTGTGGTGGCTGAACTTTAAATTGTTCAGGGACAACAGAAATTCTCCCCAAACAACTAATGATTTAAATTTCCATAATATTTCAGCTGCTGTTCTTTGGCATTTTTAATTATGGTGGTTACAGTCAATAATTTTGAAAGGAATGAGTTGCACTATTAATTTTTACATAACAACATCTAATATTCTTTAACGTCGATGCATTCATCCTTTCTTGTGCATCACTAACTTTGTGAAGTACATAATAAAACAATACTTTAATTGGAGCTGGTGAAAGGGAATTCAGATGACATGACCACATTTTCTTGGGACTACTTTTAAAATGATAGAAAATATAAAATCTGATTTTCATTCTTAAAAACTCGTGTTTGCTAGTCTTAACAGTAGCACAAAAATTAAGTGCCTTTAAAGATATCTTTTATAATAATATAATAATTTTCTTGTAGAGAATCTGTTAAATATAAAATCTGGCAAGGAAATTCATAGGAAATAATCTGTTAACTAAATCAGAAAAAAATTAAAAATCTGTTAACTAAACTAAAACCAAAAAAAAAAAAAAAATGAAAGGACTTGTTAATAGGCTAGATACAAGACACAGTGGAGGCAGAAGTCAAAGATAATAATGTAAGATAATGAAAATAATCTGAAAATTTTTCTGCCCATATAATAGGGGCATAATAATATAAGATATTGTCACAATATTACTATTTTCACCATGACCATCTGTGCTAGTTTTCCAAATATAGAGAATTGGGAGAAGACTGACACCGAGAAACTACGAGAAAATGCCAGTGATGAGAAAGTGAAGACTGAGATATTGTGACATAAACCATATAATTGAGAGATTTGTCTATGAAAGAAAGAGCAGGAAGTGGTGGCAGTTTGCAGAGGCACTGTGACACTGAAGGGCCGTGTTAAGAACATGTGTATTAGAGAATAGAAAGAAAAGAATTGGTGGGGAAAGAAAAACACTGAAGGTGATCAGGAGCAATCTAAGTGCAGAAACGAGGTAAGTTTTTTGAAAATTTTGGTTAATACTGTGAAATGTAAAAAAAAACAACCTTAAGTGTCTTATTTATAACCAGCTGTTCTGTAATCTTATTTTCAAAGAGATCTTAAGGTAATTTTCTAAGGGAGTTTAATTTCTTCGTTTCCCAAATATTCATGGGTGTGAATGTATAACAAGGGTGTTNTTTTCTTGGGACTATTTTTAAAATGATAGAAGATATAAAATCTGATTTTTGATTCTTAAAAACTCGTGTTTGCTAGTCTTAACTGTAGCACAAAAATTAAGTTTCTTTATAATATTCTTTTATAATAATGTAATAATTTTCTGTAGGGAATCTGTTAAATATAAAATCTGGCAAGAAATTCATAAGAAATAATCTTAACTTAATCAGAAAAAAAATTAAAAATCCGTTAACTAAAACTAAAAAAAAAAAATGAAAGGACTTGTTAATAGGCTAGATACAAGACACAGTGGAGGGAGAAGTCAAAGATAATAATGTAATATGATGAAAATAATCTGAAAACTTTCATGCCCCTATGATAGGGCAAAATAATATAAGATATTGTCACAATATTACTATTTTCACCATGACCATCTGTGCTAGTTTTGCAAATACGGAGAATTGGGAGAAGACTGACACCGAGAAACTAGGAGAAAATGCCAGTGATGAGAAAGTGAAGACTGAAATATTGTGACATAAACCATATAATTTAGAGATTTGTCTACGAAAGAAAGAGCAGGAAGTGGTGGCAGTTTGCAGAGGCACTGTGACAGTGAGGGGCTGTGTCAAGAACATGTGTATTAGAGAATAGAAAGAAAAGAATTGGTGGGGAAAGAAAAACACTGAAGGTGATCAGGAGCAATCTAAGTGCAGAAACGAGGTAAGTTTTCTGAAATTTTTGGTTAATACTGTGAAATGTAAAAAAACCTCACAACCTTAAATGTCATATTTATAACTAGCTGTTCTATAATCTTATTTTCAAAGAGATCTTAAGGTAATTTTCTGAGGGAGTTTAATTTCTTCATTTCCCAAATATTCATGGGTGTGAATGTATAACAAGGGTGTTGGGTGGATATAATTTTCAGAACTCTCTCCATACTCTCAGGGCTGTGGGGCTCGGTAGTGAATGGAGCTGGAGAGTAGATGTGTCAGTGTGTAAACGAGGTGGTCTATTTCATGTGACATAAACAGGCTCTTGAATATAATCACAGAATGAGTGTCTGCAATGCTCAAGCAACGTC